CGAGCTCTACTTCCCCCTTCGCACAGGCGCGCGTGCACACATACACAAACGCACGCGCACACACAAGACACGCGCGCGCACACACAGACATGGGCACACACACAGAAACACTCGCACTCACTGACACGCGCACACTCACACACACAGACATACGCACACTCTCTGAGGCCCGATCTCTCCCTCCCCACCACCCCCCCCACCCCTTGGCTTCCCTTCTCACTCCCTCCCACCCCCACCATCTCAGTCGCTGGGAGGCAGCGGCACTGCGTTGGCAGCCCCCCCGCCCAGCAGCGCGATCCGCTGATGCCCGCCGCGGGACGGGTGACGGTGGTAGAGGGCGTCACAATCCCGGCACAAGAGCCAGCCGCAGTTCTGGCAGTGGATGGACAGCTCTTCCTTACTGCACACGGCGCAGGAAACATCTAGTGGGACTGGCACGGAGACACGGCACAAAGAACAAACCGCGCGTGCACTGCTCCGGCTGGAGAGGTTGGGACCCCCCCATCCTCACGACACTCCCCCTCCCCTCCTGCCCGACTGGAGTCTCGGCGCCGCATGGGCAGTTCCAGCAGGAGGCGCTCGCGAGGCCTGAAGAAGCATGTGGGTCCATCACGACTCCCTGCACCCCCCCATCTCTCGCGAGGAGGGGCGTGGGCAAACGCTACCTCCCGAGACAAAACTAAGACAGCACCCTCCCCTCACAGCGGCTGGAACCCTGGGCACGGAGCCCTGGTGCGAGGCGCGAGCCTATAGGGATCACTGCCAGGTCCCCCACTGAGCGGTCGCTCCTGCAAGTGGGCATCATCTCAGAGCGAGGGGGGTCGAGAGTTCCCGTCGATGAGCCGAGGGAACAGGCAGCAAAGTGGGGGGTGTGAGGCTGTGTTGTTGCCAGCTCCGATCTTACTGACAGGCTGGGAGAATGGGGAGGAATTTCTTCTCTCTCCGAGGGGGCAGAGTGAATCTGTGGAATTCTTTACCGCAGAAGGGGGCTGTCGAGGCTGGGTCAGAGGGTATTCGA